ACAACAACAACAACAACAACAACAACAACAACAACAACAACAACAACAGCAACAGCAGGTCAGTGTCTTGGTGTTGTATTTCATGTGTTTGTGATGAGAAAAAAACCGGCATTGACAAAAAAAAACCCTAATTTTTTTTCTAACGAGAAATTTTATTTTCATTTTCTCCAGCAGCAAATGGACACGCGACAAGGCAGCGGTCAGTGCCGTAAGATTTCCGCAGAGCTATTTTTACAGCAAAGTGAGGGGCTAGAAGTGGTTGACGCGAATCTATGGAACATGCCACATCAACGTGGAGAGTGGTTTGGATTGCTGAAACGTCACTTTGATTGGCAAAACGAACGGTTTTTCAGCGGAGAGGATTTGGAAATATTGGATTTGACTGAGTCGAAAAGAGACAACTGGGAGTTCATTCACGAACGAATTGCAATAAAAAAGTATGATGTTTATGAATTTCCTTGTCACATCGACCAGATCAATTTTATGGACAACTTTCGGGACCGTGTCAAATTCATGATTTGGCGTAATTTGGTCAGCCGGAAATTGAACGCACGCTACAAGATGATTCCGATTGGTGAACCGACGGCATTTTCTGGTCGTATAGTTGATCGAGCATATTTAGTTGACAAAATAGTAAACCTTCGGCCGCGTGTTGTTATTTCAACTTCGAATGACCCGAATATGATTGTGAAGTACGATGTTATGGTGACCTCAGCTGGTACTGTGTACATGGAATGCAGTAACCATAGCATGACAAAGGCTAAGTTCAGCTGTTTGAACCCAATGCTGTAAATGGTTATGGTTTTCTGCTGCAATTATTCAAAAATCATAATCAAATGATGGACGGCTTCTCTGTCAAACCAACTTGAATACACTACAATAGCTCGTGTATTCGGCGGAATACGTGTCAACTTGCAAATGGAGATCTCAATCGATATTGGCCAAAGCCGCCGTCTAATGGGGCCCAGTTTTTGAATTGTGTTTCGAATGAATTTGAAAATCGCCACGGTGTGTCGATTGTGGATGACGACGACGCGGCTTGGAAAGCCATTTTGATGTCGCCGATCGACTACATAAAGAAATGGCACGAAGACCATCAACAACACCTGATAAACACACAAGCAAAGTAACACAGTCTTCGTGCCATTTTTTGATGTACTCGATCGGTGTCATCATTTTTTTGCGTTTTTTTTCTAAATTGAAAAACCGTTTGTCAGTGTACGCACAAAAGAGCAATTGTTTTGAATAAAACAAAATGACTGATTGAAACACAATCAATGGTTTGTTACTTCGTTTTACAGATGATGAAATGTTCGAGTTTTTTTTTCGAGGTGAGTAAAATGAACAAAAAAAAAACTGTCTATTTTCTCTGAAAATTCCAATTTTCGACGTTTTTTTTGCCGATTCTCCGAATTTTCGAACAGATGGGCCTGGCGACCTCTAAATGACACCATAGTTATTAAAATTAGCCAAAACGCAAAAACCGGTCGATTCGATTTTGAGATAAACTACATTTTCACAAAACCATCCATTTCTGAGATAAATGAAAAAATTCGGATGACAAGTTTTTTCCATATATCTCAGAAAAATATCTCACATGAAATTTCCCGCCCGATCGATTGAGACTGGTCTGAATTTTCTCCGATTTCCCGTTTTTCCACAGTAGCGCTTTTCCGAACATTTTCCAACCAAAATTTTTTTATAAGTTATTTACATTGAAGAATTCCGATAAATCGGAATCTCGGAACACTTATTCCGATTTATCATTCCGATTGGTTTTTTGGCCAAGGTTGGTGAATTTTTGGCCAAGATTGGTGACTTTTTGGCCAAGGTTGGTGAATTTTGGCCAAGGTTGGTGAATTTTTGACCAACATTGGTGACTTTTTGACCAACATTGGTGACTTTTGGCCAAGATTGGTAGGTCGAGACGGGTTAGTTTCAACCATTGGCTCTGCCATACACGGCTTTTGCCCAACATTGGTCTTGACCAATGATCATTCCCCATCATGTTTCATCTTTACCGTTTTCCATGTCGACAACTTTGATCTCATAGCTAAATCCACATTTGACAGCAATTGCTTTTATGAGCTCCGTTGCAAAACCTTCGTACAAATCATTGTCAGTCATATTTTGGCCAATGACAACATCGATCCTATAAAATGAATTCAAATATAAATGAAACAAAGAAAACCGCAGAAAATCCAAAATGACAAAATACTTTTTTCGTAGAAATGGCATTCCCTCGCGCAAGATCACTTTAAATACTTTCAACTTCATGGATGTTGTGGTTTGCTCCTCGACATTGGTAAAGTTGCGCAGCAATGTGATGCCATATTTTGTGTCATAAAGAGCAATTTTTCGATAAGTATCGCCGGTATCGTTGTTACGTTGTAATTCAAGCACTTCAATGTAGAACATATCGCGTAATCCGTCTGCATCGAATCGGATCTCTTCAGTCAGACCCGGAACAGTATTCTGAAAATGAGAAAAAAGCGGATTAAGTTTCCATAATCAAGAATCAAAGGAATAGTTACTTGATC